GGGGGGTGTTTCAAATCATTCGCCCTATGCAAGGGCCACAGGCGTTCTGGAGGGAAAATAATGAGGCAAAACTGCTGAGTAGCTGCGCTGTTGGGTCCCAGCCCCACTGCACCTACAGCAGCTGTACCTTTAGTATGTCTGACACACTGAGATCCCAAGGAAGACTGAACAAGAGCTCACTGTTAAAAAGTCAGTAGAACGATGGTAAATAATTCCACAGTTCATGAAAAATGAGTCAGTCACCATGGATACTACGTCCAACACCCCTGGGCGTTAACATCCCAAAGGGCAAGATGGCTGGAGGGGAAAGTTAAGGCTGTACAGCAGCCTCCCACCCCTCTGCTCCAATTCCATGCTCGGTTAGACGTGGACACGCAGGGGGTGGGTTAGAAAAGGCAAAAATAGCCTCATGCCGATAGGGAATCCAACTGGCTTCTTCAGCGCTCAGAATAAGCTCTTCTGTAAACAGGAAAGACCACTGGCCTGGGAGAGTTGATGGAATTACTATTCATTAGTTATCAGGAGGCAGGTCCTACCTTGCTAATCAGGGCAGGTGCAATAGTTTTATTGATGTGCTCAACAGCCTTGGAGACACCTAGAAGGAGCAATCAAATCAAATTACTGACATTAATGAAAAACAGGCTTGAGGGCATTGCTGGAGAGAACCATCGATGCGAACCCAGCTAGTCCGAAGCCCACCAAAGACCTTCAATGGCACCTCCTTCAAATCCCCATCTCTCTCTCCCCCCAAAATCAAAGGACTTTCTGGCCCAGTCTGAGTGCTCTCACCTAGGACCCTGGGGTTAGAGATGCACACAGAGGGGAGGTTAGTTGGCAGAGACCATGCACTGGAAGCACCAACTGCAGAAACTCAAGGGTGTGCAATGCATTACCTGCGTGCACAAGGCTGGTGCCAGGAACTCATTAATATACTTAACAGGTCTGGAGACACCTGACAGTGGAGATTGACAGAAAAGAGAAGAGAAAGGCTGTGAAGGACAGCGAGTGAGAGGACACAAGGCGGGAGAATACTGCAGGGACCGTGAGTTCACCCTCGTTACAGTCAAGGCACAGCGCTGTCCTGCTTTAGACAAGTATGAGCCTGGGCTTCGGGCCACTGTAACCCGTGGGAGGGCCCTTTGTGTAGGACTGAGAACACGGCCTGTATACAGCACAATCACTGGGACTCCCCCTGCAGCCTTCTTAGACTTTTTTTCTTTTTTGTCCCCACCCCCTCCCTCCCCGCCTGCAGGTATCCTGTGGCCCTTTGTGGGCCACAAACTGTGATAATACTGTAAGATTTTTCTGCATCTCCAGAAGAACCAATTTCTACTCCCTGGGGTGCTCCCCCACCCCCACTAAAAATGCATGGTCCAACCCTCTCTTTTCTGTAATTTGGTTCTAGCGACAGAATGATGAACTAGCCCCCCAGACGCCAGCTCTGCCAGAGTGCTGCTTGTCAATTCAACAAAGATCAAACTACAACCACTGATCTGTAAGGCACTGTTAGCCAGACCTTCCAGATACTTCCCTTCTAGACCTTTGAAGAGGGCTGATGGTCTGGAAGGCCCTCAGAGCCCTCCCGGGAGATTGGCAAAGCTTTTTCACTAGTATTAATCAACATGTCTTATCTGGATTTTTTGGCCTACCCAGTTTTTCAGACTTGAAACAAGCCACAATAGAAATAAGCATTAAAATGCTTGCTGAAGCGTTGGCCCATACGGCTCAGTTGGTTGGAGCGTTGTTCCATACACCAAATGGTGGTGGGGTGTTCCTGGTCAGGGCACATACCTAGGTTGTGGGTTCAATCCTTGGTCAGGGTGAGTACGGGAGGCAACCAATACCAATTTTTCTTTCTCTCTCTCTAAAAACAAACAAAACACCCCCACTGGGGAGTTTACAGGCGTAGGAACCCCGGAGTCAATAGGCAACCCTCCAGCTCTTCTGTGTGTGGGGTACATGCTTGCCACAACACGGTGGGCCACACCTGAGGCTTCCCACTCTCAAATACAAGCCACACAGAGTGGAAGGAGGCTGTGACAGGCTGGGAGCAGCCATGCTCGAGGCAGGTGGTGGGTGCTGACTCTTACCCTTCCCCATATAGCGCGTCTTGTCATTGTCCCGAAGCTCTAGAGCCTCATAGATACCAGTTGAGGCACCACTGGGCACAGCAGCTCTGAAGAGACCTGGGTGTTAATGGAGGGGGGGGAAGAAAAAACAGTAATGGTTAAGAAACAGTCCCAGCCCTCCCCCACACCCCTCCCCCCACCATGGCATAGGTTAGGAAATACTGTTACTTCCTTCCAGCAACAGGGAGACTCAGATGTCTGTTGTTCCTGCCTTTCACATCTGCATGATTCTGCAATACAGACCCTACAGCAAAGCGATGAATTTCTCCAGTTTAAAAAGAAAGCTCTAGAGCAGAGCTTCTCAAACTCTAGTGTGCATATGTATCACCTGGGGATCTTGTGAAGCTTCAGACTGCAAACCCAGAGCTCTGAGAGTCTGCGTCTCTTAACAAGCCCATGCAGAGCTGGTGCCCTGCAGCTGGTCCATGGACCACCCCGTGTGAGCCACTTATGGGATTTACAATGTTCTAGCAGCTATGGTGAAGTTGAAAATTAAAAACAGGAAATAAATTTAATATATCTTATTTAGCCCAATATATCCAAGACATTATTATTTCAACATGTAATCAATAGAAACATTATGAGGTATTTTAGACACTCCAGCTCGAGAGCACTGTTGCTAAGTCATCCTTGGACAACTTTGAGATCAGTCGCCAGCTTTCAAGTCTTCAAAGCATTGGCTTAAAAGGAATCTCTGGCTTAGTTGTTCCCATTTAAGCAGTGATAGTGCTACTTGGGGGTTCAAGAAACCAGAAAACAGGATTGGGGGGGAAAGGGAATAAAGGTGCAGAGTTTAATGACACCAGAACACAATAAAGCACTGAGCCACGGTCTTGCAGATACAGAAACCAGCCATCCGGCTAAACCTAAAGGAAAATGGCAAATCCTGGAGAGACAGGAAGGTTTGTGGGAGCAGTTAAATGCAAGCAGCCTCCTCAATCTACTTGGAGCCATAAGGCATTTCCCCACCTGAGGTCTGTGAAGAACTGGTGGGTGTGTGAAGGCAAATGAACAAAGAAAAGAAACCAGCCAGGAACTGTAATCAGATGATCCGTTAGTTAGCCTGTGCCGCTGCCAGGGTTGTGTGAGCGGGACACATGTCCTTCCTGACACAGGCCTGGCTTTCTAGTATCCATCAGGTACTGGACCAGGTGAAGAAGTGGCAAAAGCAAGAGTGACCCTAATGTGACCTATGGACTTCGGGCGACAAAGTGTCAGGGCAGGTTTGATTATAACAATGGACCATTCTGGTGGGCGATGTTGACAGTCGGGTACACGGAAACTCTCTGCACCTTCCACTCAATTCTGCTGTGAACGTAAAACTGCTCTATAAAGTAAATTCTAGGAAAGAAAGACAATGATGGAAGACTAACAAATCCATTTCCTGTTTTATTTGAAAAGGATTAAGAAACACAAGAGGGAAAGCTCCACTTACTAAAAATTTTAAAAATAACAATTTTAGTCATTTAAATAAGTGTTTCAAAGAAAAGGGTCCCACTCCCGACAATCTTCTTGTTTCTTGGGTTTTTTCATTGTTGTTTCAAGTCCATTAATTTCCAAGTGGAAAGTCACACCAGCTGACTGAGCAAGCCAATCTCCTAAGTTGCAAGGAAGTTCTCAGCATCCTTGGAGGGCCCACGGAACCGGCGCTAAGCCCAAGCTCAGAGGGAACCCTACTCTGGAGCCCCCACCAGAGTGTAATCACAGGCAGACATCCAGACTCAAGGGCCTCCTTTTCCTGGGCAACGAGGGGAGGACAAGAGGGGCAGGGCTGGAGGTTCCACAGCCAGGCCTGTGAGTCATGTTTGTGACTCAGCTCTGGCTGGCAAGTGTTCACGTGTTAGCACCACTGGGTGATTCTGCCCAACCCTCCTCCAACTTCACCCACTACGCCCATTTAGAAGATAGCTGAGACAGTGGCAAAGGTAACAGGGCTACAGAAGAACTTCTAAGAGTCCCCATTTTATTCTTTTTTCAAGAGGGCAAACTCTTCCTAGGAGGACTTACAGCAGGTAAAAAATAAAGGCCTTCAGAATAGCCCAACACCCAAAAAGAAAGCCTGTCCCCAATCTTGCCCTGGTCAGTGTGGCTAAGTGGTTAGAGCATGGCCAGCACACCGAAGGGTCCCAAGTTTGATTCCCGGTCAAGGGCACGTGCCTGGGTTGCAGGTTAGATCCCCAGCCCCACTCGGGGCAAGTTCAGGAGGCGACCAATTGATGTTTCTCTCTCCCTCCTTCCTAGTCTCTCTCTGTAAAAGCAATGGAAAAAATATCCTCAGCTGAGGATTTAAAAAAAAAAAGAAAACTGTCCCTGATCCTTGGTTTAAGAGAATTTCAGGAAGCAAAGATGACAGTGCTACATTTACACTTGCTTATTTGGTCGCATCAAGCTGCAAAGCAAACTAATGATGGGTCCTTTTAGGGATAAGATATGACCTTACTTCCCCACCTCACTGACCCAGGAAGCAGCAAGACAAAGACTCCTGCCTTACAACTCCCAGCAGACAAGAAAGAAAGGTATTTAGAGTAAGACTTTTTTCTGTCACTTCAAGAAAGTTTTCAAAAATGGAGTGTAGTGCAAGGAACCAGAGAAACAGAGGTGGCACATACCTTTTGAAGTGTAGAGATCCACCTCAACAGTGGGGTTCCCACGAGAGTCGAAGATCTCTCTGGCATGCACCTTCAGAATAGACATGGTGAATTTCTGCAGGGAAAGAGTTCACATAATGAACCACAATGCAGCCTTGGCTCATTCACTCAAGGGGTCACTTCTGAGGATTCCTAGACTAGAAAGAACCTGCCCTAGACTAAACACTGGATGCAGGAAGGCTGGCTAGAGTGGGAAAAGCCTGCTGGGAAGCAGTGGGAAGTGCTCCTAGAAAAATAGGTCAGGCCCAGCTCTGCAAGGCCTTAAACTCCAGCAGTGGAGTCCTTGTCCCACAAGCAAAGGAAGCCTGAAAAGGTGTGTGCCAGAGAAAAATAAAATCCAGCAAGAAAGATTAATGTGTTGATGGAGAATGACCCAAGGGGGACTGATGGAAACTAATTATCGTCATTAGTTAACAGTGAGGATTGGCATGAACATGGGAAGGGACCAAGGGGACAGGAAGGTCACAGACAAAGCCACCTAGGACTAAATATGGGGGCGAGGGGGTGGGGACAGGAGGAAAATCTGGTTCGTAGTGAAACCGTGGTTAAAAGTCTGGGACATATTTCATCAAGTTAAACGTGAAGTTTAGTAGGATGTTCAACTGGTGGATATTAGATAATCGGGGAGCTCCTTGGTCTGTGCACTGTGATCTTTGTACTGCCAGTTTCTGGGCCTTTCAAAACTCACAGTACTTGGGTCTTTAGCAAGATAAGGACACGTCAATAATGACACCTAATTAGTATTTCTTCCAAAGGGCATCTTACCCCATTTAAAAAACTTAATTATGAACTGTCATGATTTCTCACTAGATCTTTGAACACCAGGACACTCCAAGGTAAGAGTCTTTCTCTGAATACACCATAAAAAAAAAAAAAAATGCAGCCACAAAGAACAAACAGCAAGTCTTCAAAGCAAGCCCCTCTCCCCGGATTCTCTCCAAGGAAGAAACCGAGCCACCCACAGGACGGCGTGTGGATGGAGGAACTGAGTTAGCGTTCAGAAGCCATTATCTAGCTGCGCTCCCTCCAGCACACGCTCTGGAATGTTCTGAAGCAGCAAATGGCATCCCTTTTTTATTTCAAGTTTCAAAACTATATGCTGAAGTCACTTGTGGGGTTTTGCTGCCTGTGTAACAACGGAGTTTTAGTCAGGAGCAGATAAAAAGGTGTCTGGTTTTTATCTACCAATTTACAAAAAAGGTGATTTGTTTAAGCACAGGTTTTAGTTCTGATGCACTGTTTCAACACCTCTTCACTACACTACCTCAATCTACAGGTGCAAGAGCTCGTTTTTTGTTTCATTTCAACGGTGTAAGACACGGTAATCAACTTGTATCACCGCGTGAAAATAAAAAGTCAAGTCTTTCAGCTGGATGGAGAGAAAAAATTCATTACAGCTCGGGGAGCACAGGAAGGAAGATTGGCCTCATCAGGAGTCCTCACAGCTTCCCATCTCCCGGGACCGAATCCCGGGCCCGGGCGGCAGGAGCGGACCACGCGGTCGGTGCCCACGGAGCCCCGGGGCAGGTCACCCAGCGGCCCACAGCGCCCGAGCGAGGGCCACGCCGCGGGGAGAGCGGCCAACCCGCAACCTCCTTACAATACTATCT